GAGAGGCATCCTACAGGTGCGGTATATATATGTGTGTTGATCGGCCTGCTAGTCTACATCAGGAGCTCTTGGGAGAGGCGTCCTGTGACTACGGATGACATACGGTCTGTGTTACGTGGGGGCGTCCTTGGTAGGAGTGGCCCTGTAACACGCTTTGTTTCTTCTGCCCTGAGTCCTCTCACGGTGTGAGGGTCTTGCTCGGGCGGAGCTCCAATCACCCTTCGCTGGCCTGCTGGGAGTACATGTTCCTACGGCCTCCGCGTTGTGTCCCACTAGCGAAGTCCTAAGGGACGTAGCACCATGACGTAGAATTAATAGTTACCTAATGTAACTTAAGTTCTACGAATAGGTGCGTAGTCCCTTAGCTACGAGCCCATCAGGCCAGCCCGGCTTGGCAGAGTTCAAGAGGGGGTGCGGCTGTGTGCAGGCCAGGGCATTTATAGAGGATGGTGGCTGGTGATTGGAGCAAATTATTTTGATCTCTCTGGCGTGTGACCTGGGGGTCACGAGTGATATCCCACTAGCGAAGTCCTAAGGGACTACGCACCTATTCGTAGAACTTAAGTTACATTAGGTAACTATTAATTATTTGACTTAAATAAAGGCTCGCTGCTCTCTGGAAATCCACCGTTGTCTGACTACTGGTGTAGAGGCTTGGAAATAGAGCAAAATGATTAACAGGCACCCCTCATTTTTATTTTGTTATTGAGAACTTTATTTTTGTTTGTTTAGTAGCTATTCATGTGATTACTACAATCTCTATATTGTTTAAGTGCAGTTCCTCCCGTGACCAGTAGTTGGCGCATATCGCGCAGAGTGGGTAGAAAGTAGACTGAGCGCTGCAGAGGAAGAATCAATCCTCTTGAAGTAAACGCAGCTCAACGCATGTGCTCTTGTCTGTACTTTTTATCACAGGTTGGTAAAACGTTAAAAACACATGTTGATGCCAATTGTTAGAGTTATCAGGTGTCTAGGAGTGTATTGTGAACCGTGGTAATGTGTAGAGTGAAGTTTGTGTGAATATGTGTCTCGTTTTTTTATGCTAACCTGCGAAGCTAATTGTCATGGTAGGGAAATCGCGACGTGGGTAAACATGAACCTCACCACTTTATGGTACAAGAACCACATGAGTAGTGGCATTTGTGAACATTTATGAAACTTATTTCATGTAATACTGTTTTGTTGAGTTTATTTGATTGTTTAAACCAGTGTTTTTCAACCACTGTGCCGGCACACACTAGTGTGCCGTATGATATTGTCTGGTGTGCCGTGAGAAATTCGTCTACTTTGTCTAAAAATAACTGCATTCGCTGTTGACGAGCGGTGACTTGTTTTGAACTGTGGAGTAACCATGTAATACTTTTTCAAATCAGTAGATGGCAGCAGATAGCTAAGTACTTTGAAACTGAAAAATTGGATGCGACCACTGGCTACAGGTAAGCATTGTGGCGAGAAAGGTAAAATTGGATGCGACCAACAAATGTGGGAGGGAGCGAGACAAGAGCTTTGTGGCGAGTGAGAAGTGAAAGTGATAGAGACGTTTTTGAAAATGAATTATGCCGTTTCTGAACAGGATTAACATCCTCCGCTCTGCCCCGGGGCAGCTGTGGCCGCGTTGTAGTGGTTTAACTATGAAATGTACAATTTTTGTACAACAGCTCTCGCGAACGCACTTCTGAACTGGGTACCGAGCGCAGACCATAGTCGAGTGGACAGAACCACAGACATGCGGACCGGACAGAACCATGGACTCGCGTTCAGGACCTCCCGTGTCCCTCATCCAAAACTCCTGAATTTAAAGCTCGGATACCTAAATTTTTCCCATGCACTAACAATGCATGTTCTTTGTGTGAGTTATTATTTGACTATTTGGGTAGAGAGTGGATTTTCTTAGTTTTTTTCCACACAGTTAGTGCCACTTTATTCCCAAACTCTTGTTAATTGTATCGAGAAATATTAAATAAAGCTTAATGTCAAGGCCTGGACTTAAGCATTTTGATGAGAATAACTGTATATTGTGAATATAGGCTACAGAGTATACTGTATACATTATAAGATAAGATAAACTTTATATATCACACAGAGTATGTACAGTATATATTTTTTTACATTAGTACTGTATACATTTTTACATTTTCTCCTGGAGGTGTGCCGCAAGATTTTTTCAGTGAAAAAAGTGTGCCTTGGCTCAAAAAAGGTTGAAAAACACTGGTTTAAACAATTATCAGTAGACAGTATTGTAAGTGCAAAAAAAGCACATGGTCCAGTTCTGAGTCTGGTGCCACCTTGTGGACATTTAAATTAGTACACAAGCACCGAGAATAATTGAGACGATTTCTTTGTTTTTTTTGTAAATTCAAATATTAAAAACTGTAATTAATTTAATGTAAAAGCTCTTGTTAAAAATGGATTTAGTTCGTGTTATTGTGAATATGAAAAAAATGTAAAAGTAAATGTACATTTTCTGATTGATTGCAAATGAGGAAGAATCAATTCTCTTGAAGTAAACGCAGCTCAACACATGTGCTCTTGTCTGTACTTTTTATCACAGGTGTTACTTCACGGAGGCATATGCCCTCTGAACCGCTAGTCAGAGGAGCAACACTGGCAACAGAGAAGCTCCTCCCAACGGCGTCACTCGCGTCAAAAGCTTCAACCAAAATGACAAAAATAACCCGGCGTCAGTTGAAGCGCGTCAAAAGCTTTTTGAAGCTTTGGTCTGAAAGCACCATTATTCAACACAAGCCACAGGCCCAGACACTCTACTGTGGGTCTGTCTGCGTAGTGGGAGAGAGTTGCAGCCCCTGGTCTGTAACTTGGTTTGGTGGCTTCACATATGGAGAGAAATGTGTTTTTTTATGTGTAATATTGCAGAAGACTCTTGTCAAGGCAATAATAGTCTTGTGCAGCAGGTGGCGGAGCGTCCACCAGAAATATCATTCAAACAAACTACCCATTTGTTATACAACAATAACCAGGTGTGATTAGAGGCAGAAAATAGATACTGCACTTTCTACCTTTTCAACGCACTCAAAGCACTTCACAATCACCCACACAGTCATGCACCAGTGTACACAGACGCTGGGGGATAGGGGGATTAAGTGTCTTGCCCAAGGACACAGTAGCAATCACCAATGGGAGCTGGTTTTACACCCCCAACCTGCGGGTCAGTCAATGTGACTCCTCAACCAAAGATATTAGGTCAGGAGCAGGATTCAAACTGCCAACCTTGTGCTCAGTGGAGACTCATAAGAATCCCTAAGAATGATTAATTTTAATTTTGCAGATGTGGTCAGACTTTGAAAAGCTGTTAGTCTGGTCAAAGATAGCCTGGCCTTTGCCATCCGTAAACTCCGGTCAAATCTTTTTTTCCCGGGATGTACGAAACAAGTACGAGGGTATGGTAAAACCAGGCTAGGTCAAAGACATCGTGGCAGAATTTTGAGAAAACGTTACCTGTGCTGTTGAAAGAAAGAGCCCCCCCTGCAGGCCTGGAGAGAGAGTACACTGTGCTCAGTGTGTTCCTGCAGCACGGTCTGCAGACTCTGTATAAAGTGGCTCTAGTTTTGTCCAACATGGGTCTGAGAGACGAGGCACAGAGTCTGATCCACTCTCAACCTCAACACAGCGGTAAGATTATCCATGATTTCACACATGTGACTCTCAGATTGGATTCATAATCAAGACATATATTGTTTTTCATTTTCTGGACTACGTTTAGATTTTTCTAGCTTTGTTTATAGAAGAAACACAGTCATGCGCGAGGTAAGTAAAATGATACCTTTTTATCCTTATGTTCCATCTTGTTCAAATAACCAACGTTAAAACGTGTGTTCACACACCCATCTATCTGTTCACAGTAAAGTGTCAATTCAAGTATCTGGACTTTAAGAAGTTATATAACTCAAAAACTAAATTCACCATCATAGATAGGAATAAAGATTCCAGACATGTCAAAGAGATGGTGTGGATAAAATCAACAGGAAAGATTAACAAATACATTTTTGGCGACATTTTAAACAACCAAATCAGCCATCTGATTTGATCATTCTACTGTGACCCAGTTATAGAAAATAAAAGGTCCTCAGTCTGAAAAAGCGGCAGAAGAACTTCCACAAGATTAATCACAGATAAAGCACTTGATTTAAAAAGGAATATTTTTTTTTTATCAATACAAATTTAAATGACCCTTGAAAAATGTGTAGGGGACGTGATGGTTTCCATAAAAAAAAAAATCTGAAAATTCAACTTGAAAAAAAAAAGAATCATGGTCTGGTTTCACATTCAACTGGTTTACTATATGAAAGTATCACTTTGTTTCCACTCTGTGTAAAAAAAACCACATTTCTTAATCAAATCTGGATCTGAAAATATGTAACAAACTTCTGCAGCTCATTCAAAAGATCACGTCCTTTACATAAAATAAACAGCCACTTTAGAAACTTGACTAATGTATCAAACAGTTCTGTTCTAGAAACTTCTAATGGACAAGGGAGGTATTTGGATAAATGAAAAGCATAACATATCTTCTGATTATTAAAATAAAAAGTTTGGCCTTTGTACCCTTTAGTGTGAACAAGCCAACATAAGGTCATTCAGTATTACTTTTTCAGTGAATCCCTTTTACAATGTCAAGTTTGTTATTCTTTATGTAACCTTGATTTAACAGGAAAAGTCCTCATTTGTCCCAGACAATAAACATGTATTTGCTGAACTACATTAAAGTAAAAAATCTAACCTTTATTGGCACTTTGTTAATACAATATTAAATACAGTATTTGTAGACCCTAACCCTAACCCTAACCCTAACCACTCTAGTGTCATGTTGACCATTTAAAAGCCTTTAAATAAAGATCATTGTCTGGTTAATATTCAGTTTTGGACTGCCTGGATTGTTCTGAGTTTTATAGATATTCTTGTGTTTGAATCGTCAGGTGATAAAGGATCTTGTAACCAGAGAGTGGCTCCTGGACACTGTGCATGAACTGAGCTTCAGAGAGATGAGCCACTTTGAGTGGTTTGTCCAGTTCACCTGCCTCCAGCAGAACATGTCATGGACAGACCTGGAGTGTGAACGCCAAAGAGAGGAATCTGAGATCATGACATCTGCTGGTAGCCCTCTGACCACTAAAGAGGCCTGTGCTGCTCTGATGAGGGCTGCGGCGGTGCTGCACGGTCGTCAGGCGGAAACTTTGATGGAGTCTGTATTCAGGAATATGAACAGGGGTGACCTAGTAAGAAGACTGTGGCCTGACTCCTCAGGTACTTCTCTTTTTAATACCTCATTTATTTATACATGTTTTTCATTACAAATTGAACAAACTACACCGTACACATAATTATTAACAATCAGTGATAAGCTTAATTATGACAGCAGTGGGAATGAATTAGCATTTTAATAAATCCTTTAAAACATTTTTAAATGTAACAGATTCTTTTGAAACGTTATGTGTGTTCCCACTATTGGACTATTGCATTTGCTTCTGTATAAATAAAGTCCTCAAGACAAAAATGTGTGAACACACAATGAGATATTCTGAGTTCAGTCATGCATGTGGGTGGAGCTCGGAGTAGAGCCGCTGCTTCTCAAGCTAGCTGAGTGGCATGTCTCACATGGAAGAGACGACCTCAGGGGTATTCCCAGAGGAGCTGGAGGAAGTGTGTGGAGACAGAGTTTGTGCGTGAGATTCGGCTCAGACTGTTGCCCGGCAACCAAGAATCTGAATGGATCAATATATTAACATGTCATAAAGTTTACTTTAGTTACTTACTGGATTAATTACTGTGTAATAAGGAACAATTGGAACCATGTTGCAATAAATCAGCTCTGATTTCAGGGGACAGTCTCAGTCCCTTCCTTGTAAATGTTGAAAGCCTGATTGTGTTTCCTTAATTATTACATTAGTTATAATCACTGCTGCTCTCCTTTATTGTAATGTGTTAAATGTGTGAATTCTTCTTTCCTTAATTCAGGGATGAACTCGTCTTCATTTGGGGACGGACTGAAAGTCACAGTGAGTATGGTCTTGTGTTCCAATGTTCAAACTGATCAACATCTGTAAATGATGTGTTGGTTTTATTCAGATAAAGGAAATGGAGGCTTTGATCAACAGTCTTATGCACACGCTCCGAGGTCTAAGTGTGTCTGAACTCATGGACCTGAAACGTGCACTGAGCACCAGTGAACACTCAGACACTGCGGGACCATTACCACACCTCCCACCTGGTCTTGTCTATGGTTCAAACACACGGGAAAGGATCTGTGGAGCTCACCAAGAACTTACTCGAGTCAATCGGGAGAAAGGATCTGCTGCCACAGCTGACCTCTGAAGCACGTGGTATGTCGTGTGGGTCTGTTCTTGTGTTTGTTTAGTTCTATCTGTAATTGTTTCTTTTTCAGAATATTCTAAAGATCTTTGGTGGTGTTCACTTATCAACAAAGTGAGTGGATGTTTATTTTACAAGCATTACAAGCAAGGGGGGTGCGAGGCCCTGTGCGATGGCACAGATCGCACAGGGCCTCCGACGGGCCTGATTACTGTACTGTCTCTCTGCATACGTCCTGAATCTGTGTAATGTCCAGATGTTAATATGCAGCTTACCTCTTTATTTTAAGACATTTGATGTGAAACAGACAAAAGAGGATCCCAAAATGTTACAAGAAACAGGCGACTCAAAATCAATTATAGAAATAATTATGTAGGGAAATGTTTGTGTGAAGCCAGGTCGCTGTATAGAAAGTATCCTGGTGTTGTAACAGCTGGTGAATTAAAATGAGAAATCAAGGTTTTATGAAATAAATATTCAGAAAGATGAACTGGGATTGAGGCTGAGGAAAAACTGACAGCAGGCAAAGTCTGGACTAAAGAAAGCCATCCTGGGTCACATGGGAATGGTAGATCCAAGACACGGTGTCGTAGCCATGGATGTCGGCAGTTTCGAAAGGCAATCGCTTCCATATTTTCCTTGATCGCTCATAATTTTTTTCATGTTACTGTTACTCAAAGGTTTTAATAACATCTTCTGTAACTATCATAAGCCGCTGATTTATAATCAAATCCACAAAACGCATCACGTGCCTCCAGGTACACACAAGGTACTGGACCCGCAGTCTTCTCTTTTGAAGTGTTGCGGTTTTGGGTCGCTACACTAACAGTACAACAGTAACAATACTCATCCAGGACTAGGTTTGTGGAGTTGCAAGAAAAGAAAATAAAATAAAAGCAGGACAGTGTTTTCAGTGCCATAATAACCCTTAAAGTGGAAAGATAAATTTTGGTTCTAAGTTATAGTATACTGTGGCTTTAACTTATTTAAATTAGAACAAACTGTAACTGTAGCTCTAACCATCACCATCAAAACTATCATAAACATCTACAACTATGCACACACATTAAACCACTGGACAAACCTTTTCTGTGACGTCATCTCAAGTTTATTTATCTCATTGACTCATTATCCTTCTACAGTCTGACCTTCTTCTTTTGACCTGTAGGTGGCGACAGTGTCAGTTGTTACAGAGCTGTTTGGTGAGACGCTGAGTCTGCTGAGACCTGAAGAGCTCCAACAATTCAAGACACTGCAGACCCTCTTCCATGTACACCCACATGTGGACCTGAAAGTACTGGTCCACGCTACAGCCCGACAAACAGGGGCTCTGCTGTTGAACATGTACGGCTTTGAAGCTTTATGGAAAACATATTTGGTTTTAACGGAAATGAAATGTAGTCATGAAGCACAAAAGATACAATCCATGATGACCACTCCCACATGTAGGTTCAAGATAAAATCCACCTTCAATTGACCTGATCATTATTGTTATTTGTTATTCTTGTCCCCAGGGATGATGCATCCTCGAGTGAGTCTGGCATTTCATCTGAACCTTATTTTAGGAATCTTTATTACCATAATACTTCACTGTATTATGGTACACTGCAGATATGATATTATTTTCTGAACGTTTCCAGGTGGCAACAGTAAAAAATCTGAGAACATTTTTCCGAATTACTGGTGGCTCGTTTGTCTCCTGAGAAACAGACACAATTCAAGTGGAGTTTCCAGTTCGAGTACCGTAGAATGGACCGTGCTTGGATCTCAGAGTTGGAAACAGATGTGAACAATCTGATTGATCACATATTTGAGGTCATTGACCAGAGCTGCCGGAGCGCTATAAGAAGAGTTTTGAATGAAATGGGCCGAGATGATCTGATTGTAGACATAGATGGTAAGGTCTTTTTACTGTTGTAATATGCACTGAATAGAGATGAGAAATTGCATGTATTCAGAACTCAATGGTTTTCAAGCACTGAAAAGATGCAGAAAACAAATTACTCAAAGTATACTTCAAATATATTTGAAATGTGAAATTCCAAGATCTGATTGACATAAATGTTCAACAGAATTATAAACTTTCTGGAGAAAATAATTGACTCTTTTCATTGCCAAAACAGGTATAAGTCGAAAGGGATTTCTGGCGTATACTGTCGCAGTAGAAAGTCTTCATAAAAAGGTTTGTGGTTTAATATGTATTTTTTCAGTGTAGAGTAATTTTAACTAATGTATTTATAAAACTGGGGCATTTAATCATGTGCTATTTCCAGAATCTAAAAGTTTCAACAAATCAGGAAAAAGTTCAACGACAGCTTACTGATGAACTGAAAACACAAACTTTCAGAAAACATCTACAGACCTACTGTGAAAACTATTTATCCAGACGTTTTGTTCGAGAATACATTGGGATATTTCCAGAAACACAGGATTTGGTCAAGCTGCTGGAGGCAGTTTACGGAGAGTCATGTTGTAACGACATAATCCAAACAGTTCTGAAGGATGTAGGAAGACTGGATGAGTCGACTTTCAGCTCCAAAGGTGAACGAACAGTCCAATCAGATCAAAGTTTAAGGTCAAACTACATTGTAAAAATCATGGCCATATTCTCATTAGGTGGTCTTGGGTCAGGACTCTAGCGGTAATTAACAATTAAGATAATTAATTGATTGGTTGATTATTCTCTTGATTAAAAGTAGTTGGATCCTGAAAGCTCTGTAATTATGGGATTTTTCTACATTTGATCCAAACAGCTCCAGTGACGTTTCCCCTAGGTGTGTGTTTGTGTGTTAACCACTTCTTTTGAGTTCTGCTATTATTCCAAACTAGGACAAATGTGTCAAGGTGTTTAATTGAGCTATGAGAAACTTCAATGTATTAGTTGTCAGTTATAAAATGTGTATCCTAACCTGTTGTATGTGCTTTTAAGTCTTTGAACAGGAGACAACCCCATGGATACAGCTTTATCCCAAAGCCTTATCCAGAAAAGTCTCTAAAAATAAAAACCAAGTTTGTGCTAAAAGCGAAACAAGAGACAGTTAAAGTCAGTCCTCAGGTATCTCTTTTTTAACAGTTTTAGTTATTGTAAAAATGTCATTGTCTTTTTGATTTTTACAGAAAATAAGACATATGACATATGAACTTACCAAACTTCTTTGAGGTGCACGCAACAAACCCAGAGTTTGACTTGGATCTGGAACTTTCTGAAGGGCACAAGCACTCAGTCGTGTGGAGTTGTACGATACGACGAGGTTTGAACATTCAGTTTCTGTCATTTAAACTATCATATTAATACATTAAACGCGTACGCGCTGTTTACGCCTACTGTGTAAATTCCCTGTTACAGTCAAAACTTTATGTCATTGCTGCCGTAGGTGTAGATAAGTTTACAGGCTGGTAACGTTTTCACCTGAGTGACTTCTGCTGCCTAGCAACCAATGCCTAGCAACCCCAAGTGGGCTAAACCGAAGGTTAGTAAAATACGAATTATTGATTAAAATAGAATTATTTTTAACTCATGGTTGGATAAGCTGGACAAAATGTGCAAAAGTTCAGTCTGTATTAGAGCTCTCCAGAGGCACTGCAGTCTCTTTACATCCACAGTCATTGAAGGAGCTTTTTTCTTGTAGGCTAGATTCATTTGAGGGTATTGTTTTGTATAACTTTTTTGCTGAAGTTAATTTTTGTAGATTATAATGGGGCTACTCGAGTCTACTTCAGTTTGTTTTTGTTTTAGTTTAGTGGCACCAAGGGGATAAGAGGGGGCAGAACAGGGCGGGTTTTCATGCACCATGGGTGGGCCCATGGTTTTTTACGAGTTCTTGGAGATGCAGCATTTTTGTGTTTGCCTGCAACTTGTTAAAAAAAATATACCTTTTTGAACTTTTTTTTTTTAGTACTGCGTAAACCACTTACCCATGGTGTATTCTAGTTATTGAGTTTGTATGGTCTTAAGTTTGGTTACATTGTTTGATAGTCTATTTTCTCACAAATAGTCATTATATATTTAACCATGTTGCCATGGGTATGTAACCATGCGTGTACGTGTGTTGTCCAGCCACTTTTCATACTCTACCTTTGTATCATTGGATTGATCAAGCCAGACCCAGTCAGAACTCTGAATAAGCAAGGTAGGGCCTGGTTGTCACAGTGGGGCAGCTGTAAAGTGCCAAACTGTTGTTGGGTAAGGCAAGAAAATTCACCCAAATTGTCTGTATGTGTTCAGAGGGGCTGATGGCACATGTTGGTTGCCTTGCTTCAGTCAGACAATTTTTTTGTTTTTTGTTTTCAATTGGGCAAGACACTTAAACCTTGCAAAGTCGTAAATCAAATATTATCAAAACATGTGATTGACCAACCCCCAGAATCCATGCAACACCTCCTTATATCGTTCTCCTCTAAAGAAAAGACACACATTTTTACTATGATTGGTTTATTCATGAATTTAAGGCCACTGTGGACTGTGCGATTCACAGAAAGAGAGCGGAAGAACTGGCATCTGAAGAGCTACATTCTGTTCAAGATGAGATTGGGTCATAGCTACAAAAACAAAACATGGCAAAAAGGCGCGAGAAGATGGCGATACACAACAAACTTTGCAGAAAACATTTGGGAAAGTCAATTCAAATGCAGAAAACATTTGGGAAAGTCAATTCAAATGCAGTGGAAGACATTTGTAGCCAGTGACAAATAGATTTTTTTTACATACATTGGAAAAGGCAACAACTCATGAGGACATTTCGCCTTCTGTTCTGTGTGTGTTTGTCCGTCTCTTGTGTGTATGCGTGTGTGTGTGTGTCCCAGTCTCTCTCACACCTCAGAAATGTACCACATGCACGTTCTGAAATTCTTAATGCTAGTGCTAGCTTAAATGATATGAATCTTTAGTCTATGGTACATTCCAGACTCGCACACAAACATGAACAGGCTTCCATTTAAGGTCACAGGAAATGCTCAAAGACACGAGTAAGTTTACAAAGCATCAGAACATCAAGTATCTTCAAAAACCGCACACATTTATTTAATAACAAATCAAACTAGTCCTGACGAGTTTTGGTCAAATTTACCTTACTACTCAAAAACGTTCTAACTGTAATTGTGTATAAAACTGCTATCATACATGTATCATAAGCAAAAGCACAGCAATGTAACCAATGTATGAAATCAGTTTTTACAGCGGTTTTTAGAGCACCATGATTCCGTTCACGGTAAGTTTTTCCTTCTTGTAACAAAAATACATGTGCAGAGGGACTGTGTGTATCCAGAACATCATAAATGAGTGGCCTACATCCGTCTGAACACATACATACATTTGGCTTTTCCCTGTGCTCCTACATGCATCACTGTCTTGTGTCTCGTAAGGATCCGGTTGATATGTCTACATGCAGTTTGACCTCAGAATCAATAGACTGGTTTTTCACTCCTCAATTGATACGTACAAGTTTAAACACGTTTTTTTCTCTGATTAAATTGAAGTAGGATTCGGATTTGTTATTTTTACTACTGCTTTGTAAACTCACTCGCTTATAAACATGATTAGAATAGACACGATGGCTGATAATTGCGACCAAATATGGGCTTTCCCACAGAAAATAACTTAGACCCATAGACGACAGAGCTTCTTTGGTTTCCGTTCAGTTCCCTGCCACTAAAACTTGCTGCAAAACTACCAGAGAAATGATATGAAGAGTCAAAAGAGACTAGAGAAAACTGAAAAATGATCCACTCATACTTTGCTACATGCTTTTGTGGACAGCGATAGATGTATACAGCAAAATCAAGGCAACTGGTTTCTCTGAAAAGCTACACGTTTTGTAAATAAAGTTCAGTTTTGAAGGGGGAGGTAACAACATGCTGCTAGCAAAGTGTACACAAACAAAGGCTTCAGTCTTTTTTACATTCCAAATCCGACGTTTCTCCGCCGTTAACGGCTCTGGTCGGTCGGAAATCACGTCAAGTAGATAGAAAAATATCTTTGAAACCACACATGCATAAACACGTCCAGCTTGAAGGCCTTTCAGAACAAGTTAAATGCTAACTGGGTGTAAATATAAATGCATCTATAGTTCAAGGAGCTGGTTAGGATATGTGCGCTGTCAAAAAGCAGTGACAGTACTAAAAAATACAAAACCGTTAAGTCTCCGTTCCTTCACTCTGTAATCGTAGGAGCGCTTGCATCAAAAGAAAACTGATAAAAAGGTGCGTTTTTCTACAAGGACGGCGCAGATTCGGCCCAGAAAAGATTTGCGTTCTCTTTACCACAAATTCCTACGGTTTAGCTTTGACACTCTGACTCAAACTCCCACATTCAGACATTTTGATGGCTCCCATGCAAATCAATTGGGCGTGCAAAAAAATATTCAAAGTAATATAGTAATATTTTTTTTACGTTTTTTTAACTGTAATCTCTCTTAATAAGTGCTAACAACTGGTGAATATAACTGAAATACAGCATAAACAGTTTGGTGAAAGGTCAAGGTGACAGCTAACACATGAATGTGTGTTACTATGGTAACTAGCACACACTCTTCTCTGGTGTATAATAAAGCTGATTGAAGGACCAGTCCAGGGCAAGTCCAGAACCAGTCAAGGGAACCGTCCAGGGCCCAGTCCAGGAACCGCACATGAGAGAAGGGGCTTTAAATGCCATCGAATGAATGCAGCAGCCAAAATCAATGCATGGGAGTTAAAAAGCAGAACTCCTTATAATTCAAAAAATAAATGAATTTAAATAATGACATAGAAAATAAACTAAGAATAGGAACAGAAAAAGAAAAAAGTCAAAGCTATGAAGATCAAAGATGTACAATACACCAAAAAGCCGTCAATCTGCTCTGGGAGTTCTCTAGTGGTCTTAGAGCATCAACAGTAAAGGATCAAAGTAGTCGACAGTGGGTTTGGAGCAGAGAAATACGGAGAAAATCACCTCAAACATTGTTTTAAACATGTTTTTAGAAGTTACTCTTCGGTAATTTGGGGATTTTTGCGCTCAGGGTAGTGACATTCTGTCCTTTTCACCAGTGTTTCCCAACCAGAGGTACGCGAGGTATAACAGGGAGTACTTGATTATCCGAACATTGACATTGAGGCTACTATGGGTGACTATGGCATTTTATACATCATTTTAAAGCTATATTATTTCCAGAAATATACACCACGGTCCACATAGGGGATTTTCTGGGGAGTAGTCAGAGGTTTCTTTTTTGCATCTGAATTTGACTTTTTGCTTTAATTGAACCGTTTTTTTTCTGAACTCAGACGGAACCAAAAGTAAGAAAGACATTATTGCCTAAACCCCAAACACAGACACTCCTTCACTTGACAAATACTTATTTATTGTGTTCCGGGTTCAATATTTAGAATCTAATAAATTATGTGCTTGTTTTCTTTGGATTAATTAGCTTTAAAGTGATGTATAACATGCCATATCAACCTCTCACTGTCAATGTTTGAAAAATAAGTTGAAGTACCACATGTAATGCATTAGCATACCACTAGGGGTCCCCATACCCCAGTTGGAAAACACTCATTCAACATTTAGACCATTTCCTGCTGTTGTAGTAAATTAAATACAAAAAGTAAACTTGTTTTATCTGAATATTGAATTATTTGCGATCATTTTTCTTGTGTGTAAAGATCCTTTTGGGGGAAAGAGGGCGAGTGGCAAACATTTGTATCAAAACTATAAGTATTCAAAACTTCCTTCATACAAACAGCCACACAGAACACATCCAGTGGAGACACAGCCGTGCACAACCAGTCCCTAACATTCTTCGAGGAAAAACAAAAACGATACAAGTCTCTAAGGCATCACAAGGCTTAACCAGCGACCACTGCGCTGCATAAGGATTATATAAACTCACAGAGTCCAACTTTTTGGCCATTACTCTCCGCTTGGCTCGGCTCCCGCGGAAGAACTCACAGAGCGGACCGCCAAAATATCACAGAATTTTGTCCCATTCTTCAGCGGTGAATAGGGACACAGCTCAAAAGTCATTGTACAGCATTATTCCCCCAGTCCACCTCTGCTTAGGCCACATTGCTCTTGTTTTTTAGTATTGTTGGGGTGACTTCTGGGTTCTTTGCTGGTTCTTTAGGGGCAGATTTGGGCAGGGCTTTGGCTGGAGTGGGCAGCGGCTTAGGAGGGGCCTTCAAACCCGCCTCTGTGCCGATGTTGACCGTGATGTTGGTGTAGAGGGGGTTGTACTCCCTGGAGAGGATCTGGTACTCCACGTTGTTCATGCCGTCCAATTTCCAGGTCTGACGGGTTTTGGCCAACATGTTGAACCTAGGAAATGAGAAAGAGGGAGACTTTAAATGGGTCTACGGCCTCAGTCGCCCCAGGTCTACGGCCTCAGTTGTAAAGCCCTGCACTTGAGCCCTAGGCCTGAGGGGCCCGACAGCCCGAGGACTGGGCTTCAAGCCGATGGGCGTATAATTACCTCGGACACGGGCCGGGCACTTTTATTTATTCATTTTCAGAACGGCAGATTACATTTACGAACGCACCCACTGAATATAGCGTCCAATCATGCTGTAGTATTTGTTATTCTGTATAGTATTGCCATTGACGACACATAGCGTTACCTTAAAGTGTGTTGTAGTTTATTGGGCATCTGGGCATCATACAGCTGTGTATCATGCAGCTGTGTATCATGCAGCTGTGTATCATGCAGCTGTGTATCATGCAGCTGTGTATCATGCAGCTGTGTATCATGCAGCTGCGGCCGTTCACTCCGTACACACAGAACTCATTGCAACACGTCACTACCATATATACAACTCTAGCCGGGCCTGTGTTTATATCAGTGAACGGCACTATATACTACGCTAAAACATTGTTACGGGTTCGATCCTGAGAATTCAGAAACCATGTCGGGCCGGGCCGGGCTGGGGCGCTACCCCAGAAAATAGGCCTGTGCAAGGCTCTACCCAGTCGTCCCGGGTCTACGGACGGCCTCAGTCCTAATAACTGCGTCAATAGTAACAGACAACAGCACAGTGAGTCTCTTTAAATAACTTTACCTCTTGGGGTTGATATCGTTCCCTTGGTCGAGCTTGTGTTTAATCATTTTGTAACGACCGACTTTCAGCGATGGTCGAGTGATGTACATTCCCGCCAACGAGACTCTGCCAGAAACAAAACAAAGACAACAATAATGAAACGTTGAAGCTGTAAATGGTAAAAGTAATACAAGTAATATTGCGTCTTATTGTTAAAAAGTTAGTGGATCTCTTTTTGGTTTGGGTTGGACTTAAATTTTTAACCAATTACATTTTGGGTTCAATGTTTAGAAGGAATTGAATGAAATAGTCGTTTTCTTGGGGAAACTAGCTTTAACATGATATATGCCATGCAATTAGTAACCCATAGGAACTTTGCCATCAAAGTTGTAAGTTCCGAATCATTTAGGGGACGCTGGTTCTGGCTGTAACATCCAATAGATAGGAATCTGCCGCCCTCTACTGGACACTGTGAGAAGTGATGAAGAGACTTCATCTAAAAACAGCTGGATCAAAAACTAACTTTAAATTATAATATTGTGGCGACGGTGATGGCTGTAGGTACTTCATATGTGTTTCTATGTACACTTTACCATTATACATGTTATGTAGACTTTATTCACAATTTTGAATTTTATTTTTGTTTATGGGGACAAATAGATAAATCACCATGTAAAGAAATAAGCTAATAAGATCGAAATAAGCTCCAAACTCTAAAAACTATCTCAGTACTAGAATCTGTCCTTATACACAAACAAACATTGGGCCTCATTCACGAATAACTTCACAAGAAACTTCTTAAATTTCTTCTTAAGTCGTTCTTAAGTAGATTTCTAAGAAGAGCCTACGTGGGATTCATCAACGCACTCGTAAGCCGCTGAATTGTTCGCAGCTGTTCTTAGATTGATGAATGCCATTTCCTCGTAAGTAGAACGCGCGTGCCCGGTGCTTCATTAGCATAGGTAACCGCCCATTAATGCCCATATAAGGGACTGCAGGGCCGTGTGCAGACGCCAGAGGAAACTGCAACATACCTAAAGCAAAGAGTTACGGAGCAAAAGAGTCACCCTTTTTTCTTCTTTGGTCAGACTGAGAATAAAGTTATAAAATGTTGACTAAAAAGTCGAAATATTATGAGATTCATCTCAAATGTTATGAGCTTAATTTAAAAATATATTATGTATCAATTTAAAAATGAATCTCAAAATATTTTTGACCCTGGGAGGAGATCCAGCGCGGACCAGCGCTGAGACCAATGCAGACCCGAGGAGAGACTGGAGTGACCAGCACACAGAAACCAGCGCGGACAGGAGAGACCGCATAGACTGTAGTGACCTGACTGTAGTGACCTGACTGGAGAGACCGGTGCGCAGAGACTAGCACGGACCGAGGAGAGACCGCATAGACCATGGACTGGAGAGACCAGCGCGGACCCGTATGGATCCAGGAGTCGTATGGAGAGACCAGTGCAGACCCGTATAGATCCATGGGAGAGACCAGTGCAGACCCGTATGGATCCATGGGAGAGACCAGTGCAGACCCGTATGGATCCATGGGAGAGACCAGTGCAGACCCGTATGGATCCATGGGAGAGACCAGTGCAGACCCGTATAGATCCATGGGAGAGCCCAGTGCAGAGACTCAGCGCGGACCCCGCAACCTCCTGCAGCAGCAGTATATATGCCATTGTTCTGTGGCCCGTGGATAAAGAAATGCCCCCTAGTAGATCAGTTGAATGTGTTGAATATCCAATATAAAACTAACTTTACCGCACTCCTATAAATAGGATGGGGTCACTAATACACGGCAAGATTTCCAATGTATTTGATAAAGCGTTGGCACATTTCAAAATGAATAAAAAAATAGGCTAAATTAACATTAACAATTAAATAAATACATACATCAATATGACGGACATATCACTGTAATGTCGTGTTTTATTGAACTTCATAACACCAGCGTGCGAACATGTCGGCACAGAATGTGCGTACGAGTGCTCCTGAGCATTCGTAGGATTTGTACGTACCCAAGAGAAATTCTGGTTACGAGAAAATTTCATGAATGCCACAATCTTCGTAAAATCTTCGTAAGTAGGATTTACTCACAAATGTGTTCTTAAGTACGGTTCGTGAATGAGGCCCATTGACCTTTGTATGTCATGATGAAAGTAACTTCAAAAACTAACTCAGGTCACCTCTCATTGCTTTTTAAGTTTTGTTTCTCACAGACAAACAGACGCCGGTGATCACTTTACCCTCTGGGCGGAGGTGAAAGGGAAGTCAAGTTTTCATTCATTTTCAAATTAATTCACAATAATGTTTGGACCAGTCTTATTTTAATCAGTTATTGCTTGAATCCTCTCCAAAGGCTGGTCCAAAGGCTGGTCCAAAGGCTGGTCCAAAGGCTGGTCCAAAGGCTGGCCCAAAGACTGGCCCAAAGACTGGCCCAAAGACTGGCCCAAAGACTGGCCCAAAGACTGGCCCAAAGACTGGCCCAAAGACTGGCCCAAAGACTGGCCCAAAGACTGGCCCAAAGACTGGCCCAAAGACTGGCCCAAAGACATTTGTGTGATAACTTTTTGAACTTAATTTCTCTGTAACAAACCTGATACAGGTGGCCTTCTCTGTTCAGTCGTTACCTGACTCCAATGTCGTCGTCCTCCCCGCCCCAGCCCCAGTAGTTGTTTGGAAATCCGTTCATTTTTAGGTAGTGCTCCGGAGACAGAGCGGACACACCGCCAAAGTACATTTTGTAAGGAAGTCTGAAAACACAGAGACAAGTTATCACCTCAAGTAAAAGTTAGAAAAATTTGTCCACCAGACAAACACATAGAGACATAGACAGAGAGAGACACATCGAGAGAGATACGGAGACAGAGAGAGAGAGAGATAGACAGAGAGACATAGACAGAGAGACACAGATACAGACAGAGAGATACAGAGAGACAGACACAGAGACAGACAGAGAGACAGACAGAAAGAGACACAGAGACAGGCCCACCCACACAGTTCAAAGTTATCTTTATTCTCCCACTCTGGGACTTTTTCTTTGCAGCAAACCAACATTTAAAAACAGACAGACTCAGTACAGAGGCCCGGAACACACAGGCCCTAAACACTCTCCGACCCTACACACAGACTCACTTGTATCCAAACTTGTCCATGGCGATGGCGGCGTGCTTGGGGTTGCTGTCGCAGACGTAGGAGTTGCGGTCGTCCTCGGGAATGAGGTCGACGTCGTGGAAGAACAGGCAGTCCCAGTCCTCCTCCTTCATGGCCTCGCGGAAGCCCACGTTCATCAGCTTGGCTCGGTTAAAGGTGTAGTTCCCGGCCTGTGGAGGGACGAAAAACATGAGAGAGAAGCCCCTGGGAGCAATTACGCCGCTGCACACCGCCTGGAGACTATTATGGGATGGCAGGAATAAGTGCAGGTGAGATGGGGCCGTAAATGAACCAACACATAACACAAAATAAGCATATACACTATTAGATACAGATGAAAGACGCTGTTAGCATAGATGAGCAGTAGTGGATAATCAATATTTAAAGCTGTGGTCCTCAACTTTAAGTAATCAAGTAGGTAATCTTTATTTATATATCGACTTTCACACACCAGAGTCACAAAGCGGATTGCAATTGTTATTTTTTGGGCACTTGTCCTCTCACTCCACACAGAGATGGGAGCGGGGCCAGTACAGGAGGCGCACGCCAGACCTATTGTACATATTTTTAGTGGTAGGAGAAAGCGGAGCACCCGGAGGAAACCTACGCAGACATGGGGAGAAGATGCAAACTTCACTCAGAAAGGCCTTGATCCGACCATAGATTTTTACGATATTTAACACATATTTTGTCTAAACCAGAGACCGAATAGTAGGAGTAGACTGACCAAGCTGACGTCATTATAGTGTTAGCCTTAATGCAGAAGAAGCCATTTTGAACGTAAGCTAACCGGAGCCAATTTCCTTATATTTGTTCAGGAGTTAGCTTTGCAGCGGAACAGGGGCAGACGCGTTTGTAAACATTGTTGATAAGGTAAGCTGGAGTTTCCTTCACGAATGAACATCTGGTTGTAAGTCTAGATATTAGCCAAATAAGGAATAACCAAAGACAATATCGCGACATAAACACCGGGATCATGGAGAAACCACAGAAGTCCAGAATGGTGAGTGTGAAAAAAAACGGTTACTGAGCAAGAGGCGTTTACTTTTCGATGCAGGTTAATAGGAGCCGGAGGGAGTTTGAGCAGAACTTTGTCCATGAGCACTTCCCTGTTGAGCGTTGCTGAGCTAGCGAGTTAGCATTGTCCATCTGTAAACAGTCTATGCTTGTCCTAACAGAAAGTCTTGCTGTAAAAGTCAAATCAGACAACAGCATCTTGTCTTAATATTATTATCAAACATGGGTAGTACTTGCCCAAAACCCACATGCATTATGGGATTTCCGCAAGCAGTGAATAAAATATCTTGTTTGTGGTTGCAACATAATTGTAATCCCAAAAGCCAGATTCACATCCGGTTGGCTTTTAGACCACTCCGAACAAGAGTGGAAAGACTGGTTTGGGGACAAAACTGAAACTAACCAGTTTCCCCACTTTTCTAATTAGAAATGATTGAGCTCCGATCTGCCCCTGGCTTCTCTGTGGTCCGCTCAACAGGCTGATATTTACTAAACACTAAAGCAAAAGCCTTCTACAGAGCCATGAGAAGTCACTCTGTCAAGATTATAAGGTAAATCCATGATCCATTGGTTAATAAGGTCACAAAATAAATAGTTTTAATTGCGTTTGTTGATCTGTCTAGAACCGGTATAGATCAGACCAAGGCATGGGGTGAGTTTAGAGCCGTGTTCACAACCAGGGATCATTCAGAGATGCATTTAAACGCTCATTCAAAGTTGGGAAAACTGACCGAAGGCAGCTTGCTGGCTCAGTTACTAGAGGTGGGACCGTGGGGGGGATCAATTCTGTTCAGTATCACGATATTGATACAATATAGAGCAAAGCATTGTGATATTTAATTAAACAATCATCCGTTTCACTCGTGTTTTCTGTGGTCATTTCCATCTGAGGTTTTTGTTCCTCTATGATGTCTGCTTTTTGTGACTGTTTGAATAATGTAAATTCAGTGCAGAGAATAATGATGTCTAGTCTGTAATAAGGTCCTGTGTCCTGAATGTTCAAGGACTAAAGCCTGGTTCACACAAGACTATTTTTAAATTGTCGGCCGATTTTCCAAACCTGAGAGACCAAACACACGGAGTTAATTAAAATCAAGTGTCTAACCACTTTGGTCGTACAGTGTGTGGTGCGCAGACACACCGCAAAAATCACGCAAACCACACACAAACAGATTTCCTCCCGAGCATTCCCAGTTCAGACGGAAATTTCATAAAATCTCTCGAGATCAAGCGTGACTTCAGAGTAAACAATCATGGAGGACGAAGAGGATGCAGTGGTGATTGTTTTTAACAGAGAAAAAGTGTTATCAAAGGAAAAGGCGGTGGTCAAAGAAATGGAGACAACGCGAGCTCGGACTGTATATATTTATGTGCCATGCCACCTCGTCACCTCGTCTTCTGATTGGCTACACGCCACACACGAAGAGAAATCGTGCCAAAACAATCCAGCATGTTGGATTAGACCAGTCCCGCGGTCCTTCTGAGCGACGCAGTCTTAACACACCACACATGGAAAGTTCATCCGATTTTATAGACAAAAATCGGAGCGTTCTTAAGATTGTCGTTAGGGGTAAATCGGGTCTTAAATCGGCCTGATTATCCTGCCGTGTGAACCAGGCACCAAGTTTTTACACTACCCTCCTAAGTGATTTATATACCTCATGTTATACAAAGAATACGTAATGTACCGCAATACGTTAAGAATCACAATATTGAATTGTGGCCCAAATCACAATACTATGCAATCGTCACATTTTTGCCTGTTCCCGCTCCAATCATTACCTGGTGGATGATGTAGATGCCGTAGGAGAGCTGCTGCCGCTGGAGGAACGGGTGCAGGTAGTAAAGCAGGAACTTGAGGTGGTGCTCGCGGTGTCGGTGTGGGATGATGATGGCCGTGCGGTGCCTGGACTCGCAGTCTGGTGGCCTGTAGCGCCCTCCTCTCACCACCAGGGGGTTCTTCCTATGCACCGCCGCCAAACTCAGGCCTGAGGGGAAGTTCACGTGGATGGGTCCAGCTGTGGCACAGGACGGGGTAAGCAAATAGTTTGGTTCTGGATTTGAATAAGTCGTTACAGTAAAAAAAGAGCAGTGTGTGTTGGAAATGGAAATATCAATCCATAGTGGTCTGAGAGACTAGTAGTTTATTAGTCGGCAAACATTTTATAAGTTACATTTCTGGGACCATTGATCTTTGTTGCTCATCTCAGATTCACTGAAACTTTTGTGTCTAAATGATTCTCTTCCTCCCACTCCATTTCAAGCTACTTTGTCAAAATGACGGCTCTGGAAGTTCTTGTAGTTTCAGCACACTGGGAGTCCTAGGGTTAAAGAGAAGACTTTGGTGCATGCTTACTGCGAGAAGCGCGTCTTTTCCACATAGTAAGTAAGTAAACTTTACTTTATATAGTGCCTTTCACAGACCAGAGTCACAAAGCGCTTTGCAATTTCGCTTCTGTCATCAGAGAATGGAAAAATATCTGAACTCTGAATATTTTAAAGTGCTTTGGTTGGCCTTGGTCTGTGAAATGCGTTATATAATAAATACAAATTTTTTTGGGCATTTTGTCGCTCACTTCACAAAGAGATGGGAGCGGGGTCAACATACAGGGGGTGCCACTGCCTACCAGACTGTTCGTAAAGGTGCAGAGAGCAGACAGAGAACATGCAAACTACCCACAGAAAGGTCTGGAGGTGGAATCTAACTCTCAGGACCTTCTTGTTATGCCACCGTGGCGCATTCTGCTGATCTCACTTGATCCAATCCAATTCACTTTATAAAGCATATTTCATAAACAGTCTCCAAAGTGCTGCACAATAAAATACTAATTAAAACAAATCCATGGTAAAATCATTGAAAATCAAATAGCAAAAACCGTGTGTGCATGTATAAATATAAAAATAACAACAAAACAATATAAAAGGACCAAACAAAACATTCGCACAGAGAAAGACCCACAACCTCTTGGCCCTGGACTCACCAATCAGGGGAGACTTGAGGGGGCAGTAGGGCATGTCTTCCCGGTGGGCGTGGGCTCTGGTCAGATGCGTCAGGTTGGCGTACACGTCCCCTCCGACCACCGTCGAGCCGTTGCGTCCGTGCTCGGGCTTGCGGAAGATGCGGATAAAGTAGTTCACCCTTTTTTGGTAGCCCTCGCGGTACAGCAGCGCCATCACCACCAGCTGAATGCCCAGGAACATGAAGAAGAAGCGCCATTTTGACTGGAGGTTAATCATGGCGAGAGCGAAACTGTCCGCTCTCAATAAACGCGATCGGACGAGCGACGAAAAGGCACTTTGAGACGTCTGCTATACCAGTCCCACATCATGTAGATTCAACCGGCGTAGAATCCTCGTGTTTGCGTCGAGTTCATGGTCTTTCTTGCCAAGGAAACGGTGGTTTGGGACTTTTATATAGCCTTCTGGTCACCCCCATGTCGTCTCTTGGGGGAGGCCTCTGCTACATCGACACTCGCCATGACAAAAGGCCAACATATGCTCACGTAGGGCAGAGCCAGAGGTGCAGACGGTCGAGGCTACTTCATTTTACTGCGGCCAGTTGAGAAGCGTTCTCCAACGGCAGACCTGGAACATCCAAAGTTGTGGTTAGTTTGGTCATAGTCAAAAAGATCAAGATTTTACTTTTTTTTTTAAACGGTGCAAAAAAAATCATCTCCAAGTCTTATTATGGTATAGCCCTCAATCTTTACAGGACTTTACAAAACGGTAGAATTCCACAACACAGATTAGAGAATCAAACGGTTCAAACACAAGAAATGCAATGATAAAATAACACAGAGCCAATGGTCCACACGGGGCAGAGACCAACAATTCACAAAGAATCAGGAATCACAAAGATTGTCTTGCTCCAGTGTTGTAAGATCAGCTTTGTTGTTTACTTAATCTAACAAAGAGTTCAAACGCTGTTCGGAAAATCTTTACATGGGGCTGAAACCAACAGTCATCGTCCTCTCATGCACCAAGACGTTAATCAACCATTTTTATACCTCCACGAATTAATAAAGCGATTTGAGGAAATATGTTTTGCTATGGAACCCCTGAAGACTGGATACAATCTCCCAGCTACAATTAAATCTATTTCCTCCCTTGAAATTGTAAACAACACTTTAGTTTCACAACTTAAGTCAGCATGTGATTGCTTTAAGTAGCTAAAGGAGTCATGGTGATACAGTGCTATACCACAAGGCATACAGAGTTATTGCTATAACAGTTGCTGTTAACTTTTAATACTGTTCGATAAATTATCATAGGAGCAGATAGGGACAAGGGCTAGAGATGTGTGACTTCCTGATACTTAAAGTGGCAAGAAAAGATTCTGATCCTAGCGGTTATTCTTTAGACAAAAATGTGTACACAAATGTTTTTGCAATTACTGCTTTGTTTGAATCTTAAAAATAACATTGCGCTAACAAGTGTTTGTCAAAAAATAGCAGTTTCTCAAAATCTATTATCTATGCGTGATGTAATGATGATGTCATACTACAACAACTACTTCTAGAAATATGGACAGATACATTTTGTTTTGTAGTTCAGTAGAACAAAGTTGGCACAGTTTTACATTAGCCTTCCATTTCAGCTTTCTGCAACTTGCAAATATCTGATTCCCAGTCAGAAAAAATGGTTCATTTGGTTTCGCCAATCACTATGGTAAAGCTACATCATTAGAAAAACCATGTATTGCCATCTTATCATTTGGTGTCTGCTCAGACTGCAACGAATAAAGCTGAAGAAAATGCATGGCTGGGTCTTTTTAACACTGGCTGTACCATAACACAGTCATGGATAGTGTATTGGAATTTGAATAAAGCCCAAATCTTGGCATGAACCAGCCCTGGTGGTAGTTCTAATGACCGGAATCTGTTGACATCAGCATATTTTCTGCTAACAATGAGCGACTATGTGCAGAGCGGTTGGATTGGGTTTGTTTACAAAGTACTTAACATCACAGTAGGAAGGCTCTCGTCTCATAAGGGCCTGGCGATGATCCTGTGGCTTCAAAGAACGCCAAGAGCAAGTAATAAAAGACATTCTCAACAGTGAGGCAATTATCCGGGCGCTTTGGAGACGCATGAACCCCTGCTGCAGCGGTGTCGAGCTGTGGTGTCGAGTGCTTTCTCAGTCACAAATCAATTAGGGTTAGTTAAAAGTAGCCGCAGCCTCAGACTTAATCCTAATCCTGATTTACTGCGCAGCCTGCGGAGAAGACTGAAGACCACTACTGCCACTGCCACGAGGGGCGGGAATTGGCAAAAATATGACGATTTGATGGTAAAGAGCTAGCTTCTTTACACCTTTGTCTTATTAGAATAACTTTATAAGCTTTAATGAAGCCACTTAATTAAAAAAAAGTATAAAACAAGCTTAATGAGAAAGTTAAAAGGGTTACAAAATTCTCAAAGATTAAAACTTTTCATTGAATTAATGGGAATTTTCAGAAAATGTATGGGAATAGATAAGAATTAACTGAGGAATCTTCAATACTGAAAGTAGGCTTTTCATAGGACACCTAAAGACAGTTGAGGAAGTTAAGTTCAATAAAGTGAAGTAAGTTTAGATTATATTATGAGGAACTTGTTCTACTTATAAAAAAAACCTCTGTTTTGTAAATGATATGATTTAAGTCCATTACAATTACTTCCCAGCTGATGCATATTTCTAAAATTCCCCAGCTTAGCATCCCATGAAAGTTTACCTGAAACTTTCTGGAATTTTACCAGAAATGTTCCACCCCTTTGCAACACTAAGTTACTGCCTCTTTTTACTTACGACAACAAAAGCACTTGCACAGAACCTACTGATAATCACCAGTTCACAAGTGGAAAAGACCATCTTCACAGAGAACTCACAGCATCGGAGCAGAATGTAAGAGAAAGCCGCAGCCTTTTGTTGCATTGATCTGAGCCGCCGTCGCTGCTCCGTGAAAGAAAATACGTTCAGTGAACTATAGAGAGTCTCACAATAGTCACGGTTTTACCAACGGAACAATAAGTCAACATATGGTATAGACGAGCACTGCAAGAAAATGATAAAATATGAGGTAATAAATGCTTGAATCCAGTGGTTTATAGTTTAAAGGAGGATTTTCTACTTCTGGGTTGATCATCAAGACTATTGGTCCTCCCAACTGTCAATCATTCTAGTCATACGAGCTCGTCAAATAAGACCGGAGGGTTTTGTTCAAAAAGAGGAGAGGGCGGTTCTTTCCTACATACCTTTAATTTCGGACTGTCTTAAAACAAGATTTGCCGATGGGACAAAGCCATTTAGCCTTAATTCGAGAAAGTTTATTTTTCCTCATTCCAAGTCAGACAAGATTATTTAGCTTGGTCCTATTGGCAAATCGTGTTTACTAAAGTCACAATCTGCTCAAAGCAAGATTAATTTTGCCAATTTATTTTTCATCACTTTTTGCAGTGCAGCTATGAATTATTGCGGTTTCCGTCTCTCAATGTTGGCATTCCACACAAAAACAAAAAAATTCTTCTAATGGGACAATAAAGAGAACTTTGAATTTTAATTGTAATTTAAAGAGTGAAACAAATGTATTCTTTTAAAGTGGGTATGGTCCAGTCAAACTACTCTGCTAGGATAAAGTGCTACACTCAAGTGGAAGTAACCTGTGATTGAAGTTAATTACTGATTCCCTCTCAGTCGGTCAGACTCGGCTGAGGGGGCTTCAGCCACAGGAGGTGCTTTACAACCATTTTACAGATCAGTGAGTGCGATAAACAGAGTCCATCACATTAATGCAGAGCAGGTGGAGGAAGTCACAGTTCACCGCGTCCTTACAGACTTCCCAAAAGCACTAAAGAGAAAAGAAGACCAAAAGCAGAGACTTTGATCCCTGAGGCTTATACTGTATATCGAAGCAGCTAATATGTGTATATAATGTGGTACAGTTGGGCTGTGAGTAAGTAAGTTTTATTTATATGGCACATTTTACCAGACCATGGTCACCCGAAGCGCTTTGTTCCGATATTTTCCCATTATCTCCTCACGGGGAGAACATGCAAACTCCACACAGAAAGGCCTGGAGATGGACTCAAACCCAGGAGCGTCTTTGCTGTGAAATAAGCCGTTTATGGTCTTGGTATTATGAATTTTAGTAGCTATAGGTTTATTGTCAGACTAGAAGGTGAACGAGTAATGGAAGCTAATGGTGAAGCTGTTAAAGACCTCGTCATTAAATCATGTGTCCAGTTTTAACAGCCATCTGCTTCATTACAACACGAAAACCTGCGGGTCATAATCAGGGGCGGCGTATATGTGGCTAAAATGTAATTTCTTTTCAAAAGTTGCTGGTGCAATGCATACAGGCACGTCTAATAGTCCAGAAAGTACAGTAAACATACAAAAATCACCACAGACGCAAAATATAAACAAAGCTTCCACACATAACACTGGATAACATCTCGTATCCACGTCCATTTCAAATACTACGAAGGCATTAGGTAATACAGATCATAAAAACATAAAAATTGCCCATCGGCCGCAGAAAACCCAAAACCAAGTACCAGGCAAAAAAAAAAAAAAAACGCTGGGTTTACGACCAACACTACCACCACTGAAACTACACTTAGAAAGTGAGGAACAAGGCTACTGTTACAAATGTAAAAAGATTCACACCTGGTCAAATCGAAGTAAAATCTCAGTTGAAATTAGTAAATAATATACTAATATAATAGTAATATTAGTAAAACCTTCACATAATTGATCGCCACACTCCCAAAAATACCCTGCTCTCTCTCTCTCCATGGAGGTCTGCGTCTCCCGCTCATAGATTAAGTCAATCAATACCTGTACGAGGCCCTGGTCGTGTCCTTTCTCCTGGGCGACCTGTGCAAAGACTGATAAGAGAAACAGAAGCCTCCCTGCCCCATTAGCCACACACACACACACAACCTTTACGACTACGCCCGTGTTTGCTCTGGATTTGGAGGACGCATTTGTTGTTTTTTCCGTCGCACAAAGACTCTATCCGGGTACATGAAATCACCAAGTCTTGACATCACAGATCATTTTCATCTGTGGATTATTGGAGCAGATGGCCCTCTCTCACTTTGCAGGGCGGCTATAATGCCACATAGATTACCAATATGCTTTTAAAATAAAAGAGAGTTTTTAATCCCCGGGCAGAGACCTCCAGAGTAATACCTCTGAAGAAGAATGCAAGGGGCAGTGTGGTACAAACACAACACACGTTTAATTGTAGTGTCAAAAATAAGTTAGAACCAAGTTTATCATATTGCATACAGAAAATTAGAAATCAGAAAGAAATAAGTGCAATTCAATGCATTTTTGGAGAGCCTTAAAGTAGCAATATGTAAGATTTTCATGCCAATTCATCAGAAATGCCCCTAATCTGTCAAAAGGCATTAATAAACCATGCCCTTTTCGAACACTTTAACTGATAACAGTAGTTCAGTTAGTTTTAGAGCTCCTTCTTGTTATTGTTTTAATTTCGATGTCCCGCCCTCCACCGTTTTACCAGTCAGAAAGTCTGTTGAGCTAATCTCACTTGTAAAGTACCATGTGGCGCAGAACTAAAAAAGGTCTCGTTATGA